CATTCTCAATTTTCCTTCTAATTCTTTTTTTGCTTATCTTTTAAATTTTTAGTCAATAATTATGTTTTGTTTTTATTAATCTTAAGGCCTGCAACCTTGCCAAATTCCTCTATTTCCTTTATTAATTTTACTCCCGTATTCTCTGGATCTTCCCATAAAAATACTATATCATCGGCAAATGCCTGTACCTTATAATGCTCCTTTTTAATTAAAGCCCCTTTGATTTCTACATTTTTCCCAACGTTTTCCAATAAGTTTTCTAAGGTAAGAATAAAGAGAAGGGTGACAGTGGGCATCCCTGCCTTACTCCCTTGTTGATCTTCAATGTTTCCGTTCTGTAACCGTTCATTATTACACTGGCTGTCTGTGCTGTATAAATTGTCGAAATCAATTTAATAAATTTATTGCCAAATTGCATGCTTTTTAATTGTTGTATTATGAACTGCCAATTAACATTGTCAAATGCCTTTTGCACATTGAGGAAGACCATTGCCAATTGTTTTCCTGGGTTTGCTTCATAATATTCTATTATATTCAATACCATTCTGGTATTATTTTTAATTTGTCTATTCGGTAAGAATCCATTTTGCTATGATCTTATTAAGGGTTTTTTTTCAATCTTTCTGCCATTATGGACATAAATATTTTATAATCAACATTTAAAAGGAATATGGGCCTATAATTTTGAATTAATTGATGGTCCGAATCTTCTTTTGGGATCAATGTTATGTATGTCTCCCCACATGACTTAGGTAATTTTGCTGTTATCAGTACCTCATTATAGAGTTCTAATAATTGCATCTCTAATTTTTCTTGGAGCGTTTTATACAGTTCCCCTGGGAGACCATCCGGTCCCGGTGTCTTATGGTTTTTCTGTTTCAGGATTGCCTCTTGCAGTTATTTCCCTTGCCTCTTAATGTTATTTCCCTGTTTATCTCTTCTTTATCCTCTTCCAGGATCACAGGTAGCTCTTTTCCTTCTAAGTAATGTTGGATATTTCCCTCTGGTATGTCTTCCCTACTATATAATTCCTCAAAAAAAACTTTTAACAATATGTTTTTTCTTTTCAGTTTGATGTTGTAGGGTACCATCAGCGTCTTTCAATTGTTGAATTGCTCTTTTTTCTTTTTCTTTCTTAAGTCTATAGGCTAGCCACCTTCACAGCTTGTTCGAGTGTTCAAAATAATTCTGTTTTATCTTTTTCATGTCCTGTAACCAATCATCTTGTGCTAACATATTCAATTTATGTCTAATCATTATTCTCTCCGTATTTGCTGTCTTATTATGTGGTGTTTTTTCTAGTGTTTTTTCTAACTCCTTAAGAGTATCTAGTAGTTTAAATTGTTCTCCTTTTTTTCCCTTATATCTACGTGTATTATATGAAATTGCTAGGCCCCTGATATATGCTTTAGTCGTGTCCTGTAGGTTTGGAATTGATGTTTGTTGTTTGTTGTTTTCCTTCAGAAAGAACTCCAATTCTTTTTCCATCATCTTAACACATTCTTTTTCTTTTAGGATCTCCTTGTTTAGCATCCATCTTCTGTTTTTTTTCCAATCCTTTCCAAATTATTTTAATGGGATTATGGTCCACCCATGTGTTAGATTCAATTTTTATTTCTTTTATATTACGTTCCATTTCCCCATTTGTCCATAACATATCCAATCTTGACCATGATGTGTGTGGTGCTGAATAGTAAGTATACTGTTTTTTGTCTGGATTTCTTTCTCTCTCTATATCTTTTAATCCTAATTCTTCCGCCATTTGACAGAATACTTTTGGTAATGTTTTCTTTTTCCTTTTTTTCCTTGGATTTCCATTATTATAATCTTTTCCTAAATTTGCTATTGCATTGAAATCACCTAGCAGGCATATGTACTCATATTCCTGTTCTACTAATTTTCTGTATAGTTTGGTATAAAAATTTTCTTGTTTCTCATTCGGCGCAATAACATTTTCTTATAATTTATATAAACTTCTAACATCAAAATCCTGCCCTCCTCGTCTGCATATACCTGTTTTGCTTGTAAATGTTTCCTAATGTATATTGCTATCCCCCTCTTTTTTTGTTGGGCTAGAGATACGTATAAATCTCCTAAATTGGTGCTTCTAACAGTTTACTTTGATGTTTCTGAATATGTGTTTCTTGAAGGCATATATAAGTTCAGTTTCTATAGTTTAGTTATTGTTTTTTTCCTCTTAATTTGTGAATTTAAACCATTGATGTTAATGGAAATCAATTTGATTCCTTCCGCCATCTTACTCTGTAGTTGTTTCTTGTTGAAGCTTATTTGCTCTCGTTTGGTATCTCGTTCTTACGCCTTCTCTTTCCACTTCTTCCTGCTCTCTTTCCTCTTGTTTTGTTTCTCTTTCCTCTACCCGATCTTCTTCTTGGCTCCTACTTTCCACTTCCTCTTTGCTGTTCTGGTCTTCTCCTGATACCACATACAGTTCAAAGAATTCCCTCGATTTTTCTATACTGTCTATTTTAATTTTTTTATCCTGCCATGATATTAACATTCCCTCTGGGATGAGCCATTTGAACAGGATGTTATTCTTATTCAGTTGGGCAGCCAGGAATCTGTATTTCTTTCTATGTTCCCTTATTCTTTTTGGAATTTGTTTCAACGTTACAATTTCTGTTCCCTTAAATATCAGCCTCTTGTCACTTTGTATATCTCATCTCTCAGTTGTTTCTTTGAGAATCGTATATTAACCTCTCTTGGAAGTCTAAAACGTCTTGTATAGTTGGTATATATTCTATATATGTCGATTTCCCTTCGAACCTCTTGGCCCCCTTTTTGTAACGCTTCTGCTATGAGATCTGCCATTAATTTGGGCAAGTCCTCCCCCCTTTCTTCTGTTACATTCTGAAATCTGAGGAAGAAATCAGCCTTTTCCATCTCCAAATATGCAATTGCCTCTTCTAATTTCCTGTTCTCTCCCATTAATTTCTGTTCTATTGATTCTACTTTCTTATCTGTTTGTTCAACCTTTGCCTCCACTGCTTTCATTTTATGTTCCGTCTTTACTACTGTTTGTTGGATTGTACTTATCTTCTCGTCTAGTTTCCATATTTTACCTTTCATCTCCCCCATTTCAGTTTTAAAGTCTGCGTGATTTCTCACCATCGTTTCTTGTATTGTTAATGCCATTTGAATTGTTTGCATATTTGAAACCTGACTCGCCTTCTCAGGATTCAGCATGCCCTCTATCGAACATAGTCCTGCTGGTGATGTTATTGTTGATGTTGGGTTGGATGTTGTTTTCTTCCCAATCTTAGCGGTAGTTGTTGTGGTGCATCTTAGGCTTCCCAAATCTACCTATTTTCTTAAGAAAGTCTTTCAATATTATCATCCGTTGTATCAATTCCCTTCTGCGTTTTCTATGTTTATCTCTTCCCTTTTATCTTATTCTAATCCCTTCAGTTTATCACTACAAGGTCTAATATACTCAATAATGTTTCTCCTTAATTTTATGCACACTTTGTATTTATACAACAATGTAAAACTAAATATTGTTATTGTTTATAATCTATGATAGTCTGTAACCCTCCCAAGCTTCTGATCTGATTTAATCCTTTTAATAAATTAAGTATAATTCTAAATATAATAGCTTATATAGTAAACATATACAATTCAATAAATATAGATAAATATGTGTTTGATTGTTTCTTTTCTTATATACTCTATCTTATAACTTTCTTGTAGTTCAATTAAGTCTATGAATCAATATATAGCCATTAATTAGTTATACATCAATTAATTAATTAGTTGTTATCCGAGGTATCAAACTGTAGAAAGATATAAAGGATATATAGGGTGTAGCAGTTATTAAAAATGAAGCAATCTATGAAATAGGATACATCAGCTTTCTTCTTTCTTCCTTCTTCTTTTCCTTTCTTCTGCACAGTCACATTACTTTCCTCATTTCTTGTTTCCTCCGTCGTCTTTAACTACTTAGTCACTTTCACTCTCAAATTGCATAGTCACAGCTTTCTATCAAAATGGTTCCTCTCTCCGTTCAACTAGTTCTCCATTAAAGTTCCAATTGTTCTCTCTAATGTCTCTTTTCTGCTCTATTAGTAATCAATCCAAATCATACAAATTTTAAGTTTTTATTCACAGAGTCTCGATCTTTTCTTCTGCGTTGCTCTCTCTCAGCTGTCAAACTGTTCTGTTTCCGCCTCTCCCTTTCGCTCTGCTATCCCCCGCCAATTAGTCGCTGTATTCACTCTCTCCGGAGACTCCCTGTCAAAGTCTTTCACAGGGCCCTCTTCTCTCACCTCTCAAAAACTGTCCCAGTCTGCTGTTCTTCTTCTGATGTCTTGCACTGATCCACTTTCCTGCTTCCCGATCGCAGCTGGTTGTCACAGCTTCGGACCCGCCATAGATGCTGGGTTTCTTTCGCACCGGATTCAAAGGGCTTTCCCTCATTGCAGCAGGAGGTTGCTTTCCTCCACTCTGCTCCTAGGCTTCCCCTTCTAAGTCGTGTGTCTCTCCAAGCTTCACGATGCCTCTGACAGCTTCCAAGCATGAAAATTCAGATACAGGATTGCAGAGATCGCTCTCCTGCTCCGCTCCACTGTGACCTCACCACCGGAAGTCAAGTACACGCTTTTCAAATCAGTTCCATATATATATGAGGGACACGGTGGCTCAGTAGCTAAGACGCTGAGCTTGTCAATCAGAAAGGTCAGCAGTTTGACAGGTCGAATCCCTAGCACCATGTAATGGAGTGAAGTCCCGTTACTTGTCCCAGCTTCTGCCAACCTAGCAGTTCGAAAGCATGTAAAAATGCAAGCAGAAAAATAGGGACCATTTTGGTGGGAAGGTAACAGCGTTCCGTGCACCTTCAGAGTTTAGTCATGCCAGCCACAGGACCATGGAGATGTTTTCGGACAGCGCTGGCTCTTTGGCTTTGTAACGGAGATGAGTACTGCTTCCTAGAGCCGGAAACGATTAGCACGTATGTGTGATATATATATATGTTATTTCCTTACCTGTTGTTGCACTGGATACTGTTGGCCACTGCTGCTCGGGTCCTCCAGATCCAACACGCAGGCCTCCTGTCTCTTCCATGTGTACAGCACTAAATAAATCACAAAGTTTAGATTATATACTTCTCAGAAAAACAGTTTCTTTTGATATAAATAACCAATCTGTACTCAATAACTCTGTGAATCAACAGCTGACCACTTTTATTCTGACTCAATTATAGTGCATCTAAAAGAATATCAAAGCTCAGAGCACATTTCCCCACTTGCAAGAATTCTTCTCTCACCAACTTTTCTGACTCATGGGACTCAGATCTTTCAAAAGGAAAGGTGCTTTGATTTTGAAATTTCCCCTCACAAGAATTATTTTTGTATATTACCAGACAAATGCATGCAATAAAAATGGGGAGGGGAGTGTACAATAATTTTCATTTTAGGTGGAGTGGAGCGGAAGGATTTTTCTCAGTGCAGGACCAGCGACAGTTTAGGTTGCAGTTCTAGCATTTAAAAGATGGAAGATTCAAAGGCTATTACAGATTATCTTCCAAGTGCTTTCAAGGAATTTGGAACTGAAAGTGCACTAAATGGTGATTCAATTAAACAGGCTGAATCACAATTTCAACCTTTTAAAGCTTCATTGGAAAATGAAGAGAGGGAGAGACTTAGCCTGCATCAGGGGTGGGATTCTACCTGGTCGGACCTGTTCTATAGAACCTATTGTTCTGATTCTGCCCAGTTCAGAGAACCGGCAAATTGCACCACTGGCTGGCCCCTCACCTCCCCGCCCACTCACTCCTTACCTGATATGCGCACCATCAAGCTTGCCTGCTAAGTTGCTATTTTTCCTTTTTTTCCCCCAGACCATCAGCTGTTCTGCTGTTCCGGGACATTTAGATTAGCTAGAAAGTAGGAAATCATTGAATTTCTTGCTTTCTAGCTAATCTAAAAGCAGAGCTGAACCTTCCTTAGGACTGAAGCTTCTATTTTTCAGTGCAGACTCGGGTAGCAGATTGCAGATAGATAGATCTCTAAGTGAATCTGTGATTCTGTGAGCAACTCAATCTGCCTGCCTGCTTTGCCTGATTTTGGATAAAAGTTGCTCTTTTTTTTATAAAAAAAATTCAATATTTACATACATGGTGTGTTGTGTGTTAATTTTGTGAGTTTGCTTGCTAGCAAATTTTATGAGTTTGCTTGCAAGTAAATTTTATGTGACAGACTCAGGTAGCAGATTGCAGATGGATAGATCTTTAAATGAATCTATGATTCTGTGAGCAACTCCATCTGCCTGCCTGCTTTGCCTGATTTTGGGTAACAGTTGCCCTTTTTTTTAAATAAAAAATTCAATATTTACATAAATATTTACAATATTTACATACAAGCCATGCCCAGCCAGTCACATGACCACCAAGCCACGCCCAGTCAGCAAGCCACACCCAGCCAGTCACGCGACCACCAAGCCACACCCACAAATTAGGCCACACCCACAGAACCGGTTGTTAAGAAATTTGAATCCCACCCCTGGCCTGCATGCCAACAGAAATAAAAACTGTCAGAACACAAAAATAAAAATCCCTAAAACTGTTTTTCATTTATTAAACTACCATGTCTCCAAAGATCTGAAGCATTTCAAATTTGGACCCAATTTATTTCTTGTTATTTTTACGCAAATAAAAAAACTACATAGAAAGAGAAGAATAATCATTCCTCTTTCACAAGGCTGTTGCTTGTATATTTTACAAACTATTGGTCATCTTCTATGCTCTTTGTCGTGTTTATAAAAATTGCACCATTTTTAAACACTATGTTTCATAAAATTTGCTGCAAATGTTATCAGCATTGATCCATGCAGAAAGGCTAAGACGCTAAGTATTTTGTAGCTAGTTTTGATTTAAAACTCAGGAAAAAAAATCACTGTTGTTGACTTTGGAAGCAATCTTGTAGCACCTCCATCTAATTTTTTTACCAGTAACAAAACTAACAAGTCTCTCCTAGCATTCTTGACTTCAGTTAGTCAGCAAGAAGCACATAAGTTCAGATTTCTTAATTCTGAATTAGGTGGCCTCAAATTAAATTTTTTCCATATTATTGTATTTCACATTTGTACTGAATCTGATGATTGGTACACACTTCTAATTTTCCAAACTTCTGCAGAGAAGCACAGATAGGAGAATTACCTAGGGAATTATAAAGCAGGGATATGAAACTTGCAGCATCACACTGTCACGTGATGCATTGCAACTTTCCCCCCCCCTTTGCTAAAGTAGGGGTGGGCGTGGCCAGCACGTGATGAATCTAGCCTGCAGGTTGCGAGTTTGACACCCTGATTTAAAACAACACAAGAACCAAAAAATTTCTTGTAGTACATACCCTTGCATTCCAGCTCGTAAAGATGCAGAATAACGCCAATCAGGATTGGGTGGTTTTGGCTGCAAAGTGAAAATAACAGAAATATCAGTATACTTGAACATGTTTTAAAGGCTATGCACAACACACTTTAATTTGATTGCTTGTTTCAATTTTTCTTTGCCAAAGGATCAAATAAATGTACTTACTTTGTTGAATGCAGTAAAATCTGCAACCCCCTAATTCCCAATTAATTTCACATAGAAAAATAGATGTTTTTAAAAATGCTTTTAGATTTAATTAGTAAAAAAAGATGGAGAAGGAAAAAAGCAGCTTTTCTAATTTTTAAAATTCTTTAATTAATTAAACTATTTCTTTCCTCAAATCCATTCTGAAGTGGTTTTCAAAGTATGTAAAAAGAGATAACAATATTTGCATATGGACGGAGTATTTAAAAACAGGAATGATAACTTTAAAAAGGACAATTAGCATCTAATCAATTTAGCTGATCTTGGAAAAACAAATCAAGGTCAAACTTGATTAGTATTTGGATGGTGATAAGCAGCAGATTCCAAAAATTGTACACTAAATGGAGAAAAGGAAAAGGAAAATCCCAGGCAAAGCAAAGCATTTCCTTACTGTTGCCAGAAATATTCTGCATGAAAATCAGTTATCTCTGGAGCTCAGATCACCTGAAGGGTGCCTTTAATTTTTTATTCCTATATATTATGCTTTTGTTTTCAAAAAGGAAGTTGCTAAGAGATCCAGGCAGATCTTTTAAAATGGTAGGTTTTACTCATCAAGAACCTGCATCAGATATACCATTTTATTTTATTCGTTTGTTTGTTTAAGAAAATAATAAGAATTATACTCCAAGTATCTATAATTTCTTTTTTTTAAAATCAGGCTCCTGTTCTGCAATATGATAATAGGTAAAGGCAATTCTTGATTTACCACGATTGTCACATGACTGATCTGATATTATGACCTTGTTTGTGGCAGTCATTAAGCGAACAAAACAAGTTAATTTTGCTGAAAATTAGAAGTAAATGCCACTTCTCAACAAAACAATTGTAAAACATGGTCATGCGACATGGAATGCCCCAAACATGCTACATCCAGGATACCATGTTCCCAAAAGTCTGTCATGTGATCATGGGGGCTGTAACCATCGTAACACTGAATCTGTTGTATGTAGACCTGAGGTAGGTCTGCCATAACTTTGAACCGTTGCTAAGCAACTGGTAAGTCAAGGAGTACCTGTAAGGTCAAGGATAAAGAAGAATAAAGACATAGAATTTAGAGCTTAGAAATTTGAAGCACGTAATGTGTTTATGTGCAAATATTCAGAATCCCAAGAAATTTAATATCTGTTGGATACAATATAAAATTAAAATTCAAACAAGTTTCTCTAGATCTTTTCAAAGTGTGGAGTTGTTAGCTAATCTTATGTAGCTTTTTCTCTAGTAATATTACACTAATAACTAGAGCATACAAAACATTTGCTAGACCAGGGTTCCGGTTTGCAGGGCTTCGGTGGCAGGCAGGAATCCGCGATCGTGCGCGGTTTCTGCCTGGGCTCGCCACTGGAGTGCCCCAAGCCAGCTGGCTTCGGGGCTAAGCCACCCCGTAGAGGTGGTGAAGACAGGGGAGACCCGGCAGGGTTGAGGGGAGCCGCACCTCTCCTCCTCAGCTGGCTAAACTCCCGTAAGAGCGGCGGTCAGAAATGGCCGCCTCAAAGAAGCACTCAGCTGGAAAAGAAAGTGCAGGAGGAAGTTAAGAAGTGAAAGTTTTTGGCTGACCAGGACAAAAAGCAACAACTAAGGTACCCTGGAATTTAAATTTTGCAAAAGATACATCGCTCCCAAAGAAGAGTCAGAAGCAGTGAACGAAAGTGAAAAGGGAAAGTTTTTTTTTCTTCACTCTCCTTCCTCACGCTGACAACAAGAAGATCTGAATAAAGAAATCGGAAAAATCCACTTTGGCATTAACAGGTAATTAAACTGGAAATATAATTAAATGCCAAAGGGACAATAAAGATTTCTGAACACTAAAAAATCATCTTTTTTTTGCTATAAGTGGGAAGGGAGAGGAAAAGAATAAGAGCAGGACTTGGAAGGAGGAGACTGCTTGGAATTTAAAAGAACTTAAAGTTAAATCTTAACAAGACTTCTAAAGGATACATTTTAACTGGAATTTCACAACTAAATAGTAACCCCAAGAAGAGAAAGTGAAAAAAGAAGAAAGTGTTAAAAGAAACAGCTTGTGTGTATTTGGATTGTTTGGTGACTTTGGGATTTTTGGAAATCATATTTGAATGACTAAAAACAATTGGCTGGTTGTTTAAAAAAAAACATTCTACAATGGCAACACTTCTGGATGGACTGAATGAACTGGATGAACTGAAAATTGAATTTAAAAAATATAAAGAAGAGGAACAAGAAGGGAAGGGCTCTTTTGGCTCTACTTCTCAATTCTTAGAAATGGCGATCGGTGTCTACAAGAAACAGCAAGAAAAGACTGCGCAACAAGAAGAGTGAGATAAAGAAGAAGCCATTTTTAATGAACAAGTAATTCTATCTGGGGAAGAAAGGGGAAAGGGGGGGAAAGAGAATGGAGAATTTAAGACCTAAAAAAACAGCCAAAAAAGGGAAAAATAATGTGAAAAGGGGATATAATGTTGGAAAGCAACAGAAAAGGGGAATACAGAAGAGGGAAATGGAGGTGGAGAGACAGGGGGGTAAAAAGGGGAGAAAGAAGAAGAAGAAAGGGAAGAGAAGTTACAAAGGTCTGGAGCAAGATGTAAAGAAACAGGATTTATTCAGAGATAATGGGTGAAAATTTAACTGAAAAAGGGATTCTGTAAAGGTACATAAGATTGTATTGTTATATTTGTAATAGAAATAATGTTAGAAAATTGGAAACAACATATGATTAAAAAGTGGAATAAAATAGTCTGTGTAATTTAGTGAAACTTTTGTGAACAAAATAAATGAAATGAAATAAATGAGAGAATTGAATTAGGAAGGAATGGGAACATTTTAACTACTCAATGTTTTATAAAATATAAGTGAAGTGGGAGGGAAGTAATTATGGAAAGTTTATAAGTGTTCCCATAGAAGTATGATACTTATTTGAAAAGTAATGTGTAAAATGTTCAAGATTTAAATGAATATTAATATTAATGATAGAATTGAATTGGTATGGATTGTTGTTTTAATTATGTTATATATTTATAATTTTTTCTTTTTTTAAAATACATTGTGTAGTTTTAGAATGTACCAAGCAGAATCCGAACAGAAGTTATGTATTATATTAAGTGTTATAATTTTAGGGGAAAGATATAAAGGCGTCATACTCCAATTAGTGATCACAGGAGAAATTTTCCTTAATGAGAAAAGATAATAGACAGCTGAAACAGGACAGACAAAGAATATAAGCATGATGATTTGAATTGAGATGAAATAAATAAAATAAAATTAAGAAAGTCGAAAGAGGGGAGAAGTTATATAGAAAATGTAGAATGATAATAAGATACAGAATGGAATATAAAAATGAGCATGAACTTGAATTTGTGTCTGCACGAAGAGATGTAACCCGGGATCAGGCTGCTTTCAAAAAAGATGTTTTATGTTTTTATGTTCTATGTTTTGTTTGTTTATGTTTGTTTTTAAAAATCAATAAAATTTTCAAAAAAACAAACATTTGCTAGATCAATACTCGAATACAGCTCATCAGTCTGAAAACCACATTACGTATCTATATTAACACAGTTGAGAAAGTCCAGAAATATTTCACAAGAAGAGTTCTCCACTCCTCTACTCGTTGCAGAATACCTTATGCCACCAGACTTGAAATTCTAGACCTAGAAAACCTAGAACTACGCCGCCTTCGGTCCAATCTAAATATAGTATATAAAATTGTACATTGCAATGTCCTACCTGTCAATGAATACTTCAGCTTCAACCATAACAACACAAGAGTAAACAATAGATACAAACTCAAGGTTAATCGCACCAAACTTGATTGCAGGAAATACGACTTCAGCAACAGAGTGGTCAATGTCTGGAATACTCTACCTGATTCTGTGGTTTCTTCCCCAAACCCCAAAAACTTTAACCTTAGACTTTCTACTATTGAACTCACCCTTTTCTAAGAGGTCTGTAGGGGGCGTGCGTAAGCGCACCAACGTGCCTACCGTCCCTGTCCTATTGTTTCTTTTATTTTTTTTTTGTTTTTCTTATATGTGTCCATGTATTCATAACTATGTTTTTACTTATCTTGTAAGCAATTGACAAAAATAAATAAATAAAATAAAATAAAAATATAGTTCCTAAATGTGTGTGTGAGAAAGAGGGAGGGGAGGGAGAGAGGGAGAGAGAGAGGGAGAGGAGAGAGAGGGAGGGAGGGAGGGAGGGAGACTGGAATACAGGATTCAAGGTGGGGTCTTACTTTAATTGAGACAAGCTTTTTAGTAGGCATGTTATACTACTGACTCTCATTTAGTTACAATTCCAAGATCCCTTTCACACATACTATTAATCCTATACAGATAGTCCTCAATTTATGACCACAATTGGAACTGGAATCTTGGTCATTGAACAAAGCAGTCATTAAGCCAGAATCCCACACGACCACTTTGCTCAACAACCACAATCCCAGGGCCCTTGGTTCTAGTCATTAAGCAATCTCCTGGGTCATTAAGTGGATGGAGTGAAAGAGCTGCCTCTTGAGTTTAGTTCCCCTCCGTGTGCTCCAGTGAGGTTGCAGGAATGGAACTCAGATCTTTGGATTCTCCACTTCTTTACAGAAATTTAGCTCCCCCCTGGGTGCAGAAGAGAACTGTTCTGGGAAGTTGCAGGAATAGAGCTTGGATCTTCAGGATCTGTTTCTTTATTCTACCACAGGAATTTGACTCCCCTCTGTGCACCAAAGAGAACTGCTCTGGCGGGCTACAAAAAAGCAGATAGGACAATGGTGGGATTCAAATAATTTAACAACCGGTTCTCTGTCCTAATGACCAGCTGGATAGGCATGGCTGGGTGTCATGTGACTGGGTGGGCATGGCCAACTCAATGTCACT